CGTATTCCTCCAAGAGTGCAGGCAGCGTTGCTGTTAGTCAGATTTCTTTGGATTCAAAGTCTTCCAGCTCCCGAGCTACAATCTCAGACTCATGTAAACCTGAGAAAAACTCTGTGAATGGAAACTGCCATTGCCAAGTGCCTGGGCAGAGGCTAATAAAAGGGGAAGTTCTTCCTAAAAATACTGCTAGGACTGTGGCCAGGAAAAGACTCTCCAGCATATGACTGGGCAGCGTTAAAGTACTAGAAGATGAAAAGCCATCTTAGGGAGCCATTTCTCTTTCAGGTCTCTTTCCTTTTGGCATCCCCAAAGAGAGCAGGCCACACGAAACGCCTTCTCCTCTGGTACTTAAGCAGTTATCCATTACCAGATTTGCAAGGCTTTCCTCGCTCACAGAGTCCAGCCCCTGCTCCTGCGGGCACCATGAGGTGCAGCCCCCTTCAGCAGCTCCCTTCCTTCCCCGGGCCGCTCACGTAGACCTGCGGGAACCCATTCTGCAATCTCACCTCCCCGAGTGAGGCAGAAGCATCAGGAAATTATTATTTCTCACAGACGCGTAGGTGGGAACATATGGGTTTACCCCACTTTTTTTGCATCTTTGATGCCCAGTTGTTTAAGGAGCTCTTCTTCTCACCTGGCTCTGTTCTACAGATCAAACAGCACCCTCTCCCAGCCTTTGTTTGCTAGGATAAACAAGCCCAGTCCTTTAGTCTCCACTTTTAAGACAGGTTTTCCATTCTCCTGAACATCCAAAAGTAACCCTTTTCACCTGGTATCAGTGATTCCTTCCCTCCCCCCCCCCCCCCCAACTCCCCCCTCTCTCCCTCCGCCTGCCGCAGCAAAGCACCTTATTCCAGGTGAGTGCTGCAGTAACTTTTAAAGTTCCTTGTATTTACCAGGATGATAATGAGACAGCTTTGTATAAAAATTAAATAATTTCTCTGGAGCTCTGTAGTTATACGTATGTTAACCTACTTTTTTTCCTCATGCTCAGAGGAAATACACTGATTCACCTCATGCTCCTCCTCTGATGCATGAGGAGAGAGGACCCGCTATGTTTGTCCCCAAGTGTCCTCTTAGTTGAGGACGTAATGTCAATGTGTAATGTCAAAACTTATAAACACTAATTGATTCCTCTCATTAGCATAAATAATGTAATGACCAGGATCAGCATGAGTGCATCCTGGGAATTCTAGCTTTTTTGACACGTATTTAAAAAATCAAATTTTCAACAAGAAAATGACAATGCACCATTCCGATACGTAGAAATAGCACAAGAATGAACTGATATGAGCTGCACTGGATGAATCTTTGCTCTGTAGCTCCGTCAACACAGCTATGCCGTGCCTTCTGTACGAGAGGCAAAAGGCACGGTCAGAGAAGGAGGAATTTTTCTGTCGGGGCAACGGTACCACAGAGCTTTTTCAAACCCTAAACAGCAGAGCTGTGTCTCTAGTCCAGGACTGTGAAGAATACTTTTCTGCGTTCCTAAAGCCATGGCCTGGACCATAGAAACTTTGCTATTTTAACCTCTGTGCGGTATTACTGTGAAATAATACTAATTCCTTGAGTTTTGTCCATGCTTCTGTTTAGATCTGGAATAACTGGATCTTGTGGCAGGCCAAAATAAATTTCAGTAGATTTGGTGTTACGCAGACATATTGTATTATTGTTGTGTACAATGTATCTATTTTTCTATTATTTCTATTTATATGTTGTAACTCATATCTATATGATTTTTTCTACTCGTATTTTGTCAAAAAGAGCTCTAAATCACTTTTCAACAGTGGACGCAGGCAATGAAATTACTGTGAAATGTAGGCTACATATGTAATACATATCTGTGAAGACATTTTTAAAGTAATTTGAACGGCAAGGGTGCAATTTACATACGTATTTGAGTAGTTAGGTAAGCTCTGTAGCTGATTGGAAGAATGAAGGTTTATGCACATGTATCGGTAAGATGAATGCTGTTCATACATCAGTTGTTGCAAACACTGTTCTGAATATGAAATTATGTATGAGAGGGTTAAAATTCCTGCAATTTGGCTGCCAACGCAGCAAGAAGTCTCTCCCCAAAAGAGAGAGAAGCAAAGCTCACATTGCACAATGACTGTCAGCACTAAGCTGGTTAGAAAAGTTAATTTGGCTCGAACATTGTACCTGTATTTATCGTTTTCAAAAGTATTGAGCATGTCATGTCTTGAAGATGTAAGGGAAGGGGAAGATTAAAGCCATATTGTTATTTAAAATTGAGTTTGCTTACTTAATTTCCTCACCTCTCCCCATGAACTTCAGTTTGGCCTTGAACAGCAGCAATACACACACCTGTGCAGCATTTCCACCCAGTCTGCTTCCTACAAACGTCCTTTAGGTTGAAAGCTAAGTACGGTAGGGCATTGCCCCCACAGGGCAATGAGGAAAGTGTCTTGAGGAACAGGGCGTGGTGACAGCAATGTGAAGGTCTCTGCGGAGGTACCTTTAAGGGAAGACATCACATATGGCGGTATTTCAAAGGAGTCCTACATGCTACATCTGCCTCTCCAGCTACTCAGGTAGTCTAAAGCACAGTCAAGGGTGGAGCTGAGAGGATGTAACAGGTTTGCTAGCTAGACTTGGGAGAAAAAAGAGACACTGTACCAAGCTTTGTTACATCTCTCTTTAAATGCCTTGTCTGCAAGAAGCAAGTGATCACATGTAGGCAGAACATAAGGTGGTTGTGCTATCCTATACGGAGGATAAAAAAACCTGAGAATAGGGGTTCCCGATACTAAAGGGAGCATTTGCATGCATTCCCCTGTCCGGAACAGTAAGTACTCCAGCAGTCTAACCAGTCCTGTTACCAGGCACAGGGACATTAAATAAGCCTGAACAAGGTTTTCCTCCCCGGAGCACAGAACAGGAATCACATTCCCAAGTCACAGCGAAGTCTCAGCACAGCCCCTCTGGAGCCATGGCCCGTAGGTCAGACTGTGCGGGGCCGAAGGGGTCGGCTCTTCTTTCTGTCTCAGAGCACGTTCTGCTCGCTTACTTTGAAAAGATCCCAACACCACTTCTCAAAATGCTAACATCCGTATGTGCCCACCTGCAGGTTTTCCATCTCCGAGAGCAACAGAGAGGACAAATGTCCCCAAATACAGTGCTGCCCACAGAGAAGGGAAGTGTGAAAATGCCATTTCTTGAGGTCAGCAGGGGGGCTGCTCTGGATGTAACCGCTATTTAACCTTTTGGGGTTTTATGGCATTCATTGTTAATAATGCTAAATGATGCATTCTGAAGCCACTATCACACGGTGCACAATATCTTTAGAGAGAATGAAGACTACGAAGGCCACCAAGTTTTTCAAGTCCTCTTCTCCAGGGCATAATTCCCTTCAAGATTTCAGTAGCTCTAGCTGTGCAGATGCCTTTCAGCTGCCCATAATCTTTAAAGCAGTTCTTCGGTGAGTGCTGGGAACTATTTATGTGAGCTCCAGGCTTCCTCCCAGCAGCTCTGCTGATGGCTGTTGGAACTACAATGACTCTAAATGTGTGGGTTACCAGCACGACTAGTGACTAATAGCAGTGTTTGGGATGCTGCTCGTAAGGTACGATGCTGAGTAGCCCAGCCCAGCTGCGCTGACTCTTCCTACCCTTCCCAGCTGTATCTCCAGAGACAAGGAGCACTGCTTGATACTATGCCACTCTCTTTGAGCAGGGAGAAGGCGAGAAGGCAAAGGCAAAGGGGCTACGGGCAGACTATAACCCCCGTATCTCCCTCTCGGTCATTCCTATTGATGTGTCTTCATCTCCCCAACAACGTTCTGAAATAGGGCAGAGCTGCTTGGGGGGGGGGGGGGGGGGGGGGGGGGGCGTGGGC